TGTCGAAGAATCGAATGTGTGTAATAAATGGATCCAAAGTACTTTTTAAAGCATTATAATCCTCTTCATTCCAAAACCTTAAATTCGTAATCGTCTTTCCTCGTAATTCCGTAGTTTGGGCCATCCCCCAGTTAAGGACATAATTCCATAATTCCATTTCATCAATTTTTAAATCATCTCTTTTAACCAATTCAAGTAGAAAACCTTTTTCTAATGTTTGAAAATTTGGTGAATCAAAAAAAGGTACAGGATCATAACAAACTGTTTCTAAATAATGGTTTTGAAGTGGTTTGTAGCAATCTAGTTGGAAAACCGTTTGAAAGAGCTCATAAAAATTTTCTTCCAACCATTCGGATTGGTATTTAGCCAAATATTCTTGTACAGAAGTAACCAAATCAGCAAACAATAATTCATCGGATGCTATGACAAGGTCAAGGATATCAGAGCAATCAATTTCACTTAAATCAAGTCTACCAGCGTAAATATATCTAAAAAAAACAATTATTCAAAAATATAATTTCATGAGCTAAACGTGTTGGATTAGAAAAAAAAAAATTTCAAGAACTGTTGTTACCTAATAATCAAACCAAAAATCATTGGAGAAATGTTCGGTTTGTTAAAGTTAAACACATTATCTTTTTTTGTAATCCAATTCTGCGAGAGCGCTCCTTTAAAATAAGGTGATCGATACTTCAAGATATTCGAATGGGCATGAAAATCTTTCATAATTGTATCGTTTCCGACTCTGATGATGACGTCGCAATCGATTGCATCATCAAGCATTTGAGAAAGATTCTCAGACAATTTCGGAAAGTTTTCGACGGCCATTATAAAGTGATTGTAAGAAAGAAGGAAAAAAAAAATGAAATATTAGATTAATGGGTTCTTATATAGAAAATTCTGTTTCACAAAATATATATAACGGTTTGGTTACATATAATTTAGCCACACCCGAAATAATTAAGATCTACACATAGATTTTGTTCTTTCACAAACAATAAATTTCACTTCAAAATGAGAAATACGAGAGGCCGAATTACATGAAATAGTTTTGACTATAGTTATAACATTGCGAAACAAATCATTCATATTTTAAACAAGTGATTAACAATGTATATAACTACCTCCGTTCGTAATGATAACAAAGTATTGATTTCAATGTTTCAATGTGAACATTTTTTAATTATGCAGGATCCATTATTTTTGTGATACAATACTTTGATGTAACAAAATTTTGTCATACAACATTTCTAATGAAAAAAATTTTAATTGGGGCTTCAAATTTTTGCATGTGAATATTGATAGTAACTTCACGGGTTATCAGGCAGTTATGCATGATTTGGCACGGAGTGGCAAAATCATAACCAATCAAATGCTTTACTTAGCGTGAGCTGCAAGTAACGACATATTTTATTTTTTATCTTTATTTCTTTTCCTTTTCGTTTTAAACATTTTTTATAAATAAATAAAACTAAAAAAATTATATTAAGTGATACAGTTAGAATGAAATTATAATAAATTTTAAACGGAAAATTGAAATGAAATGATCTTCAAGGCGTATGAGAATTTTAATATTTAGTTAATCAATTAATTCAACCTAATATACACTTATGAAAGGATTTATTTATTTCGACTATTTCCTATTAAATATTTATAAAGGAAATTCATATTTTATAATTGCAAAACGATAGAATTCGGATTCAACAAATGGGAGTCAACTGGTCCCTCATTTCCAACGCTTTTTTAAAGAAATTATATTTAATTTAATAATAATAACGATATTAGTATATAAATTAATATATATAGTAATTAATAAAAAATTAACATAAACTTTTTTTTTAATTTTTTTATATACAAGTAATAGCTTATATTGTAATATCATGATCGAAGTTTAAATAAACTCTCTCAGAGACAAATGACTCCACGGATAAAGTATAATAATCATATACGACCGAGTAAATATAATGTAATTTTCAACGTTCAAGAATCCTCAAATATAAGAGAATTTCATGCACATTCAAATAACTTGAGAGACCGCCTCCATAAAAATAACAGTAAGATTAACTTTAGGGATTCCAATTTAAAATAAAAAGCAAAAAAAAATCGCTTTATTATATTCTATGATTGTGATACAATAAAACCTGTTAAAACCCGTCGAATTTTATTAAAATTGCAAAGTTGACCGTCGAAACTTTCGAGACCCATCGAAACTATCAAAACTATCAAACACATCGAAACTGTCGAAATAATTTCTGAAAGTTTAGACTTTGCAAAAATGGATTTAGGATTTTGCCCCCGCAACTATAGTTCGAACTGAAATTGATAAATTTGTGCTTACGAAGTTGACATTCACGATTAAAGACGGAAATTTTGATAAAATCCAATATATATATATTTATATGATATGAAAATTTTATTTTACTTATCATATAATTATACAAAACTTTTTGGATGATCATTTGAAGAAAGCAAGTCTTTCCTTCCAGCAGATAAGGTATACCTAAGACCATGTCTATGAAAAGTATTTTTTTTTTTGAATTGTAAGAAATCAGTTCTTTCCTCGAAATCATGAAGATTTGATTCTTAACAATAATGTTTTAATTATAACCGGTTAATTTTAATTGATCAATATTCTTGAATATTCTTTTGATTCCTACTGTAGGGATTGGAATCGATTTGAGAATCGATTTAATCGCGATTATCGTTTCTCAAAATTCGACTCTAAGATTCGATTTTAGATTTTCGATTAATCGAATATAATCGATCATCCATTGCTTGAGAATACCTTAAATTGATTAAAACGATAAATTATAATGATCAGCTATAATTCTCGTTCCGAAAATAATTAAATAAAAAAAAAAAAAAAAAATATTAAAAAAAAAAAATTCGGGTTAAATTAAATTTACAAAAAAAGTTAAATAAAATGATTATCTTTTAATTTTAATTAATTTATAATATTCGCAATTTTTATGTTTAGGTAGAATTAAAAAAAGAATATATCCGAAAAAAAAATTAATAAAATTAAAAAAAATAAACTTAAAAATTAAAATTATAAAATAAAAAAAAAAAGTAATCAATCCGAAAATAAAAAATAATGAGCAATTAAAAAACATTAATATAACGATAATTATATTTTAAAATTAAAAATTTAATTATTTAATAAAAAATAAAATGTATCATTAAAAATTACATAAAAATTACGTTAAAATAGGATTAGAGTTAGATAAAAACACCAATGAGGTTAGCGTTTAGATTAGGTTGGCTTATTTAAAATACATCAATAAATTGTATTATTTATTTTATATTTTCAATTGTTATAAATATTCTAAACCTTTAAAAATTAAGTTTTCAACGTCGTGTATAGCGAAACCCGGGGCATCGCCGCTAATTTAATGATAGTAAATTTATATTAAAAATATAATAAAGTTTTTATTTTTAAAATTGCAAATAGATCTTAAAATTCTCTATAAAATCTATTTAAAAGTAAAGAGTTCTATTCTAAATATAATCAATCGTTTGTAAACATAATTTTCTATATTATAAATAAAAAATGTAAAATTTTCTATAAATGTATGAACTGATACAATGATGAGTGAAAATTGATTGATACGCTCGGAGGAGGTTGTGTGCTATATGCGATTTATAAAAAAAATGAAAATGTAGAAATGAAAGCAAAAGTTTTAGAAAATGATTTATATATTTTGTATTTTTGATATAAGTTTAAAATTTACGCAACCAAAAGATGAAGTTGGATAATAGGAACAAAGTAATAACTCTTACATTTTTGATGAAAAGTTCATTTTGATATTTTGATCTCATAAAATGAGGAAAAAAGTACAATATTTACCTGCCAAGAATTTTATATGTATAGAATAGGATTTCCGTTCGAAATTCAAATAGATTTTCGAATATTAAAAAATCTTCAAAAAGGTTATCTAAACTTGATTTCATATTATTTTTCTATAAACGGACGAATATACAGTTTTCAAATGGAAACTTTTTACAAAAAATGTTACGAACAGAATGAGGTTAGACATTTTTTTGACCTGTATAATGCGTCCATCAGTAGTGCATCGACCATTGCTGTCACCTTAAATCAAGAATACTTCTTACAATTTTTATTGGTTGATTTTTTTCGCGAATTCGGTTCAAATTATATAAATAGTAAAATATATGTAATCAAAATATGACACCGTAAATAGCAATATAGAAAGAAATGATATATGATATTGTTTACTTTTTTTTCGTTCATTAATACTGCCTTGACTATATTAGACAAGAGTAAACGGTTTGGGAATATCTTTCTTTTACAAATAAATGCAAGTAATAAAAAAAAACCCGCGTGAATAAAAGTGATGAACCAGTTTAATCATTCAATGAAGCCTTAAATTAGGCAGAAATTTAATATCGTCTTTCCGCGATGATAAAATAAAACATAAATATCGGTTAGATCAAAATTTCGAGCTAAAATTCGACTTATATTTCGAATTTTAATATATGATTAAAAAATATAAATTTGACGAGTTAGTTTCTAAATTAAATAACGCACTTAAATTTATTATTAAAAATATCCCAAGGATTTATCCTAAGTCGCGGTTCAAGGGCCAATTCCTAGGAATTGTGGTAAAAGGACTTGCAGACTTAGGACATAGGTCCTAAAGTACTGGTATTGTGGCCCTAATAAAAGTGAGGATCTAATAGCCTCAAAAATGATCCAATAATTGCTACCTCATATCATTTATAGAATATTGTGTTGTGTAAAAGTATTTCATAATTTAAATGAATTTATAAAGAATATAACGGGATCCAGCTCTCTTTATGGAAAGAGTGTTATTCACTCCGAAAGTGATTCCAAAGGACACAATGTTAGACATGAATGTTAAAGGTAATGGACAGAGTATAATTACATCTTTTTATAAATTGTTAATTCCATTTTGGTTCCGGCGAAACAATAAGGCTAATATAAATAAATATCTTGGGCAGATTACAAATAAATTGGTTCATACACGTCCTTTGCTTTGTCCTTGATGATAACCATTACCTTTACCACGACTATTACCGGAACCTCTTTTAACTTTCCTTTCTACATGATTCGAAATATTAAAAATTATTTTATTTTTATTTGTAATCGATTTATCATAACATGTCAAAGTATGAAAAAATATTGACCTTCTTCTTTACCATGATCTTGACGCTGACCATTACCACGACTATTACCATTACTACTACCACGATTATTACCGGGACCTCTTTCTACTAATCCTACATGATTCAAAATAAGAATTAATAAAATTTTTTTTTTTTTTTTGAAATCAATATAGTTTACCTTCTTGATCGATAATATCTCTTTTATTAAGAAATTCAGGATGCGGAGAGTCATCAGCAATTTCGTTAGTAGGAGATGCGCTAACAGATGATGCTATAACACTAATTAACGCAATCGTAGCAGCTAATAATGTAGTAATTTTTGACAACAACATTGTGAGAGTAGTTGAGATTCTTTTCGTCAAAATTATTATTATTATTGTTTTTGTTCTTATGAAAAAAACTGATTTAAAAAAAAAAAGAGCAAATTCTTCCGAATTTATAAAAATTTCAAAATATAAAATTAGATTTTATTTATCCTTTTAATAGGATGCAAGTCTTTTTTTTTTTTATTTGGTTCTTAAATTTAAACTTAACTTATAAGATTGTAGTATTTTTGCATAATAAAAATTATTTTAAAAACAGATGGGCGCTTTGTCGGAGGAAACCAAAAATTTTTTTTTGTTTCTAAATCTGGACATAATTTACTTTTAAAAATCGTATTCAACACATAAAGGAAATTTTATATTTTTTTCACAGTTCCTTTGCGACCGCAAAATTGCATATATGATAAGATATAAATAGAACTTAAAATAGAAATTGTTAAGAAAAAGTAAATGTTTATTTTCAAAAAATGCTGAACTTAGCGAATTGCAGAAAAATTACATAGTAATTTAAAGTTGATTAAATTATTTATTTTGGCGCAAATTTTTTAAAGTTGGTAACAAAAGCACAAATTTACAAACGTTGATTACTTTCCAAATTTAGAATTTGTTGATTAAATCCTTTTGCATATTGTCGTTCGAAAGTTCATTTTTGGCTTACATTTTTAGCAAAACTTTGAATACCTTTACTGAATAACTAAATCATAAATAAACTTAAGTGAAATAAACAACAAATGTACAAAACATATAGACGAAACGAACTTTAGCATCGAATGACATCTCTCAGCCTCACTTCGATTTATAAAAAGGCCATCGACACCAAATGAAAGTGAAAGGTACTATTAGATTGGTAAAATTGTCCCATGATTTATGTGTAAAAATAGAACCTTATGATACACATCTCTCCTTGCCAACATTTTAGGTTATCATCAAACGTAATTTCTGGTTTTTTTTGTCAATTGTTTCCAGTATATTTTCGAAGTCATCTTGCTTATTGATTACCCTGGGCAATATTTGTCAAAGTAAAATCCATCTGCCTTTAAGAAACTTTTATTACAACAAATTACTGAAATTAGATCTTATCAAACTAGCTTACATGGACGTTAATCAATTCCCACCGATGTTTAATTACGTTGTTAGACCTGGAATTGTACCGAAACTAAGTACAAACCAAATAAATCCAAAAACTCAATTATCTCGAAGGCCTTTTCCAAGAGAAATGAACGATTAACAAACAGAACGATTTATTTATGATTCACTTGTGTAGTTAGTTTAGTTATCACGATCAGATCCTTGTACAAAGTGAAGATTGAAATTGTAAAATAGTATATTTATTAAACTGTAGAGTTATTAGTCTAGTCTGAAGACTCAATCCCTGAGTAAAAACACTATTGACTCAAAGTCAGCGGACATTTCGATTTTGCTCATATCACTAATTAAATTTTAGTGATAAAAAGTGGTATTTGATCGACAAACTGAGTGACTAATCAAAATGGCGATGATCTACATATTAAAGCCAATTGTCAGACTTAGCGCAACTTTGGAAACAAATGATAATTTAATCGGTAGGATAGGGTAGAATTGTCTACTCTAAAAGAAATTACCATTTCTCGGATATTAATCAAAAATATGGTTCAGCAATAATTGCTTGAGAAATCCCATTATCGTAAAAAACGGGATATCAAAGAATTTAATAATCTGCAGAAATCATTCATCAATTCAACAAGGTTTCAATTGTTATATTGGTTTGAGATTATTAAGGCAAATAAATAAATTAAAATCATTTAAATGTTTTACATTGATATTAATAATTAATATATACGCAATAACATACAAACTAAGCTAAGTAATAATATTAAAATTATTTTTTAAAATATAATATTGAAGAAAATGCATCTTTATATTTTTGTAAGAATATAACAATACAACGAATTAGAATATTCAAAAGCTATTATTATTCAAATTTACTTCGCAGAAATTAGAAAGAACTGCCGCTTACTATGTTAATAATCAAATATCCTATCCTGAAGTTCATTTTAATTTAACTTAACGATATTAGTTATCTGAATGAACACATTACATAATTAAATATTATTTTTAAGAACGATATTAGTTACCATGTCAGAAACGGAGGCAATAAAACGGGGTTCTGGCAGAGTGTAGCCTGACAAATAAATCGAAGATATAATACGACATATTTTACTCGCCAATGCGAGCAGAAATGGAGGAATTTAGTACGTTATTACAACGTAAGTAAATAAATAAATAACAATATAATAGTAATAGTATTAAACCGGTTAAAATAATCTAGGCCAGTACTATAAATTTGGCCAGAGTTAGCAAATATTCTGCAAATATCAAAAATCTTAATTCTGGTCGAAAATTAATTTCGGCCGGAGTTATAATAAACTATTTCAACCAATTAAAAATTATGTTCAAACAGCTTAAGATTATGATAATGAAAATAGGTGTACTGTACAGTACAGCATAAAGATTGATTGCATTGCACAGGCGTTTTAACTTTCGGAGCGTAATATTTTGTAAAATTATCGTAAGGCCCCATGTGATTGTTTGACAAATATTTTTTTAAAATATATAAATATGTTGCATCAATAGTTTATTTGCGCATAAGTTAATTATCGTGCAATCATAAAAGTCGACCTTTCTAAATTCTACTATCAATAAATCAATTAAAGTGTTAAATTAATAAAGAAGAGGTAACTAATAAACTCGATAAAAATGTAAATAAAAAATGTATCAAGAAATATATTTGCGAAGTTGAGAAGTAATCACTTGAAGAAACAAACATTAATTAACTTAAGGTAATAGTATTCTATAGCTCCAATCGTTCATTTTTTCTATATTCTTGCCGCGAAAAATAATTTTGGAAACCGAAGATATTCTTTTTCTAGATTTTTAGAAATTATGTTTAAATACAAAATAAAACTTAAAGACTTATTTTATAAACCCAATTATTTTCGCGTGGCAAATTTGATTTGACGATAGTAAAATACGGGGATTGATGTTAATGAATTTAACTAAATTCGAATTAATAAGTTTATTATTTAATTTAAAAACAAGTCCATTGCATTAAATTGTGTTTATTATTTGTACGCGTCAGTCGCCTGCATAAAGTCTAAAGCTAAGTAACACGTAACATATAAAGCTTTTGATGGATTGATAATATATACTCAAATTATTATAGTTGCGGGGCAAAACCCTAAACCCACTTTGGCAAAAGTCGAAACTTTTCAGAAATTATTTCGACAGTTGAATTTCGATGGGTTTCGATGAGTCTCGAAAGTTTCAGTTCCAATAAATACCTCAGGTTTTAACAGGTTTATTGTATCTATAGAAACGATTTTTTTTTTGCCTTTTATTTTAAATTTGAACAAGGTTTCCAAAACAATACATTATTTATCGAGCAGGTTATAAATTTGGAACTAGTTGAAATATTAGAAGATTAAACTTAAGAAGAAGATGATGATAGAGGATGGAATCGTGTTTATTTTTTATAACCGGATTTATTAATTTTAAAAATCGGATCCTGTTTTAAATCTTGAATAACAAAAGAAAGCAAATAATCCTACTACGCGATTGGTCAAGAATCTGAATATATAAATCTACTTAAAGATTTCATATTCTATGGAAAACAGTTTATTGAATAAACACATGGGAAGTAAATTATTGAAGAAAGTCAAAAAAATTGCGAATCAAATTTATGTAAAACCTCGTGGCAGGCCACCTCAAAAACGATACAAAAATCTTTGGAGCAGCATCACACTAGCCCTGGATCAAATAAAACAAGCACAAGTGCCATTTCTGAATATATTCATATAGCTTTAAGTAACACAAGTAATAGGCGCCCTTTATCTGATGAAGGCTATGAATTAAACGATTCTAAACGAACGAAAAAGTGTGGACAGTTTGCAATGTAGACGCACATGTAATGTAGATTTATCAAACTTATAATGAAAACATAGCATAACGAAATTTATATTTCATGTGTTATTTCTTTATTTGAATAATTGTAAAACTTATAAAATATTGTGCGACCAAAGCTGTGCGAAAAGTTTAAATGCTATGATAATTATATTAACCGGAATTGTTATTTTTTAATAGGTTAATATTAACCCTATATATTTAACGAAGTTAATATTAACCGGGGTAAGATTTAGCAACGCTGTTTTTTAATTTATAATTATAAAAACTAACGTTTAATAATATAAATAATTAAATTAGAGCTAGGTTAATTAGGACATGGCGTTTTCAGTTTCTATTGCCTTAATTTTAAATTGGGAACTTGAGGCATCACATACTCCAGTATTCAATTTGTTCTAATTTTCTAAATTCTCAAACTGTCATGTCTTTAATCACGTCTTATAAATAAAAAAAAACCCCCCGATTACAAACGAGTTTTACTAAATATAATTCCGCCCGAAAATATCATAATTTCACAGTTAGTCCTTTTTAAATAATTTTGAAGATTGTTTTGATGCCAGGTTGTTAGGATATCAGATTGGCAGGATGACCAGGCTGTCCTAATTGTTAAATATGAGCTGGAATCCTTAAACAGCTAATCATTCCATGATCACCCTTTTTTAATTTTCGTAATTGCGCAGTTTTTAATTAATTAGGACTTATTAATATATTGACATTGCGTAAGTGTTGAGGCAACACTGATTAATTTGATTTTGATATTATTAAATAAATTTAGTGTCAACGTTACTTCAAAAAATCTTCTACTTACATTTAAAATTGTTTATAAATACATAAACGAAAGAACTGAATACAACACTACAAAAAGTCAATTATTCACGTAAACATTGTAAAAGATCAATATTAAAATCTTTGAAATAATTTAATTTTATATATTGCTTTAATTAAATTAATTCAATATTGAGCGCAAAAAAGCTACTGATATTCAATATGTACGTGATTAGCTATTGATGATAATTTTACAAAATATTGGTTATAGAAATTCTGCATGATCCTATATGGGCTGTGCGAAAATACATTCATTTTATTTTTCAACCTATTCTAAAATTATACTTTTCAATAAATCAACTAAAGTTCTAATAAAGAAGATATAGCCTAAATTAAAACAAAGTTGAGAATTATCCATTTGAATAAGCAATCATTATTTAACATAAGATAATAGTATATAGCTTCAATCGTATATTCTTGCTGCGAAAGGATAAATTTTGATTGGAAACGAAAGTATTCTTTTCTAGATTTTTAGAAATTATAAAAAAAATAAAATTTCAAGACTTATTTTATAAATCAAATTATTTTTCGCGTGGCTATTTGTTTGACAATAACGAGAGAATTTAGGGTGTAAAATACGGTAATTGTTCATTTAAATGTTTATCAAGTGATTTAAAAACCATAAATAGGTAACATCCGAACCTCGTCAATTTTTACAAACCTTGAATCTCTTGGATTGCGACACTAAAATTCAACGACATATGTTGTTTATGCAAACTGTTCCAATTTCCTCTATATTTATTAAAACAAAAGGAATGTTTCGAATTTGACAAAGCGTAATTTTGTTGAATTGTTGATATATGGGTTGATTGCTAGGAAAATCAGGTTCCGGGAATTTTTTAACAAAATTGAGATTTTTATTGCATTTTAGTTTTTGATGTTATTAGATTAAAATGTATTAAGCTCTTAATTTAAGTGAAAAATTTCTCGGAACCTGATTTTCCTAGAAACCCTCCCATATACGGTAAATTATATTTCAATAAAACAATCTCTTTTTGAACCAAAAATTTATTTAAATAATTCTTTTCGTCCGGGATTAAATTATTACCATATATTTAATTTTTTATTTCTGTTCGTTTCTTTTCTCTATTTATTAAAGAACGATTCTGTTTATTCTGCAAGAATTATCCATTCGTTCTTTAAATTCTTATTCTGCAAGTAAAAATGCTTGGAAATATTTTTAGAATGTGCTGTATTTAAGATTTAGTGAGATACATATATACAAGTGGAGAAATAATTATGTAAACTTTAAATCTTCTATTTTTAAGCACAATAATCTAAAATTTTAAATAAGTTTTTTTAAAAACTCAATAAACGAAAACATTAAAAGCAAATTTATTTTATTCATTAAACGCAAATGTTGATTGTCGGATAACTATTTGAACTTTAGGATTTGATTATGCTTCATATTAGTGTTCGTCATAACAAGAAATTCATAAGAATAACTTATTTTAAATAGTTTAGCTGGAGGATAAGTCACTTAATTTACATGTTTATAATATTATCTCTCCATTAATTAAAATTACACAGGTCCTTAACCGATTATTTCTTGGTAAATTTTATCTCACGTTATAGATGAAAGATTTCAAAACACGAAAATTCATTGAATTAGCTATAGCAAAATCATTCAAATATTAAGTCATTACGCACAATAAAATAAGTTGAGGAGTAGTGTACGTTTATAAAAATTATTAAATTGCATTCGGATTTTTTTTTATTTAGCTATGTAATGCTATCTAAAAAAGTAAAATTAAATTAAATTAAATTAAATAAATTAAATACTACCAGAAATTCTCATGATATTTTCATCTTGGTTTCTTTTCTGATACCATTTATAACTAAAAATTCCAATTGCTATAAATATTGCGGTACCTACAATTCCACTTATTGTAGCAATTACAATTTTCATTGTACTATCATTATCATGAATTATCGCAGAAGTCGTAGGTGTCGAAACAGGAATTGTTGAGGTTGTATTTGAAGGAATGGGTTTATTTTCAAGTTCAAATCTATCAACCCAAGCATAGTTTCTAACATCTAATAAATAAATTCTTGTATTATATACTTTCGGAAAAAAAGTTGGCTGAAGAGTAACTCCTGTAATTCAAAAATCCGTTCACTTGTTAATATAAGAAACTTTAAGATTCAAATAGTAATTAAAGTGAAGTATTGTTACCAAAGGTTACAATCATATAATTTTCAACCAAATTTGCTGTATGCGCTGCAAGTGATGGAATTTTACCGTTATTTGAAGATACTTGTGGTACAGTCCATTCAAATGGAGTTGTTTGAGTATTTAAAACAGCCAAATCTGGTGCAACTTTAGCATCTTTTAAATAATCTGTAGTGTAATTTACCCCACCATAAATAATGATTCTTCCATCAGGAACTGCAATTATTATAATATATTAGTAGAATAATTTTTTTAAAAAAAATTAAAATAAAAATGTATAAAAATTTAATTAATACCTAATATTGCTGAATGATAATAACGGGATTCGATCTCAATTTGACCATTATTTACTGTTTGCTTAATAAATTTATTAATTTTAATTAATTTATCAAAGAATAAAAGTAACTACAAATGCAATGCATGCTTACCATTACTGACCAAGTATTTTGTTTTGTATAATAAATGTGAATTTGGTTATTATCTACTGCTTTCAAAATATTATCAACTAGTTCAACACCTCCAATATATATAATTTCACCGTTTGGTAATAAAGTTGCAGTATAGATGGCTCGGCTTAAAGGAGCATTGCCAATGAGGGTATCAGACCACGTTAAACCATTAGTATTAAATATTATCATATTATTAAGATATTGAACATTTTCGTTTCCTACGAAGCGATCGGCAGATCCACCAAAAACATAAATATTTCCCAAATCATCAGTAACGCCTTGTACGAATCTTCGTCTCGCTGGTTCTTTCCCCGCAATAATAGGTACATCCCATTGCCCTGATTTTGGACTGAATATATGTACCAGTGAGGTAAAGGAATCTACATTATTTTGATTTTGCATTACTCCTCCAATTAAGTAAATGCGATTATTATTATTTAATGTAATAGCTGCATTAGCACTTTTAAATCCTATTTTTGAATTTATTGGAAGGTCGGACCATGTCGGAAAATCCACATTGAACTGTTGAGATACATCAAGAAAAAATACGTCATTTGTGTAATTATCATTTTCATTTCCAACATTTCCCCCAAAAAAATAAATTTTATTTTCGAAAAGAATAGAGGAATGGCCTACACGCCCTAGAGGAGTAAATGTTTCAACTCCCAAAAAGGGATGGATTAATAGAATAAGAAATAAATTAAATGAAATATAATTATAATAAGTCATGTTTATTTTCAATAATACGGTACGGAGTTGAATGGAAACCCTATTTTTTTTATTTTTTTTTTTTGTTTATTGAAACAATTTTTTGTATTCCTAAACCTGCAAATACTACAAGCGGAGACAAATGAACAACGCATTTTGTTTGTTACACAACAAATTTGTGTTTTCGATATACCCAAAATTAATTAAATAAAGAGCAGTCATGCTTACTGAGCTCCAATCATTTTGATGATTTCCTCCAACAAATTTATTTATATTGAACTTCATAACCTATCGTATTAAATGTAGCATAGATTTTTTAATTTGTATGATTTGATTTTTATAATGTAACAAACTAGATTCATAGTTATGGCCGGCCAGGGGCCGGCCTTATTAACACTTTTTTTATATTATGAAAAAATGAAAATAAAAATTTTATGAATAATCAAAGGCCTATTAATATGTTTTATTTTATTACTAAATTACTCAAAAATTTTTTCCCTTATCTTTTTAGTTAATTTCCCGGCTGTGAACAGAGGCAAGATTTTTTTTTCGAACGGAATTGTCCGGTACGTCACCGAAGGTAAGCTGACTAATTTTTTTTCGATTTTTTGTTTTTTTTTTCTTTTTCTTATTTTCGTATTAAAAAGGAATTAACCGAATAATAATAATTTTTTAAATTCGATTCAGCTGACTAAATTACCCGGGTACAATACAAATTTCATAAAATTTGCACAATAAAATACAAGTATTATATTATACAATTACCGTTTAAAAATGAGTAATAATGTTATAAATTATTATTTAAAAATATAATATTGAAGAAATGCATCTTTATATTTTG